TCCGGGATTTTTTATATATAAAGGTATTTCACCCTGGCTTTAACTTCGTTACTTCTGATTTAATAGCTATYAAGTGAAGCTCATTATGAACTTCTCTRATACATCATAGGAAATTCTTCTCGGCTGGCAATGTCGGCCTCTTCTCAATAAAAAAAACCCGCTGTCCTTTAGTTTACGGCAAACTTATCTCCCCACCCAACTATGCGAGTCACTTAGAGAAAGTCAAGTGAATGAAATGGCAGACGAACTAAACTCAAATGCTTCAGTTCAAGTTAAAAAGCGCTTTCCAAGTAGGAGGACTGTCTTAATGTGTTCTTGTGGTCTTCTAGTAGTGCATCAAATATTGATCAAGTCATTTAGTCTTCAATAAGGATGGGCAGAATTTAGTTGGTAGGCCTGTTTGCGCGCCTTCCCCTTTCCTAGCTTCATGTCTTTCCAATGCAACGATTTCAGCAACGTTCTAATGACCTACTGGGCGGCGGTGCACAACGAGAGAAAGATTTGCTAAAAATGGGCGTGAAATACTTGTCAACAGATCTGTGCATTTTATACATTTCAGAAGTGTAATGCAAACGATTAGCGATCCTAAACTGTCAAGAAATTCACAAAGTGAATTGTTCATGGGAAAATGTTACCTTATATATATTCCGCAAATCTCCCACACACGGTTAGAAATTGAAAAGAACTGAAAAAAGAGTATTATTACGTTCTTTGTTAGACTTGAAGTCATTTACACTTCTTTAGTGTGGCTTTTAGGTGTCTTGTTCGTTCGCTGTTTAACCAAAGACTAAAGAATCGAGAAATACTTGTTGTACGGCTAGAAAAGGGAGAGAAACTCTAAAGAATGGTCACTCAAAGAAAAACCTGAAAATCTTACAAGTTGACTTGATAGTTAATTCYCCTTTCTGATAACAAAATGATAAAGTATGTCAGGACAGAATAACATGTCCAATTGGTCCTCATAGAAATGTATGGGTTCATAAAAGAGCAGGTACTAGAAAATCTATGGATTACATCCAGTGCACGTGGAAATCCAACACACAATGGCTAGATGTTGTTAAATCAATATTAGAAAGCAAAATGAGACAAAGATATGATTTCTTCTATTATTTTTTTACTTAAGTTCTAATTGAACGATGAAAATTAGTGCGAAAAGCCAAAATCTTAACTCTTTTGATGATAATTTAGCTTGACTCAAACCATTAGCGTGTAAAGAATTAAAACGAATTTACAACTAATTTTTACACTTTTTTAGAATTGTTTCTTATTTTCTTGGAATTCACTGATGGATTTGTATCCGAAAAGTCAACAAACATTACTTCTGATACTCTCTTAAAACAGAGTGTTTAATTGAAACTGTAAACTTATATCATGATATTTTCTCAAGACATTAAAGATTCCACGTAAATTTCGGTAAACGTTTTTACAAATTGTTATTATTACATTTTACACTTTTCCGCTAWGGTATGTTACATTTGGTCGACGGACAACACCATTTCGAACCTCCRCGATAGTACGACAAGATAGCGATATTGGCACCAGCGTTCGCACCTCGTGAAGAAACGCCTTTTTTGTTAGTTTTAATTTCGCAAGCTTGAATTCATAAACATGCAGGTCTTTCCTTTAATATATCTACATCTATACACCCTCAGTCTCAATAATACTCCGAGACAGAAACATTTATTAGAAGTTCATGAATAGTGAAGCGGCACCGATTGTGAATTAAAATTTACAGAATCAATGAGAAACTTCTAAGATAAATAAACTAACAAACGAAAACAACAAGAAAGAATAAACATTGTCGGCTAGAGGAAGCAGTTAGCACTTGGTAATAGTTGAAATTGCCAATAATGATTATCCTTCGAAATCCTTGCAAGATCAGCTATCTAATTAAGTTAATTTTGGTACAAATTCAACGCAATTACAAATATTAACAATCTGATCCATATTGGTGCTGAAACTCCAGGGAGTCATCACGGTGAAACATGGAGTAACTTTAGCAAATTGATAAGTAACTTTTGGGTTTTAATTTGCTAGGTATAAACATGAGATTATTGGACATGAAATTTGCTTGTGACAAACACCTTCACGCTCTAATAATTCAAGTTCTTTTTCAATGGGAAACTCCTCATTAAGGCCACTAGTTTGTCCCCTAGATACCTGTTTTTAAACCGGCCCAGTGGATACAAATATCAATTTAAATACTGTTTCGAAATCCCTCGATCGGTTGTTTTATAACTATAAATTAAAGTAAAGTCATTAAACAAACATAACTGACATATATTACAGTCTTATATAAGTCTTGATGTAATTAAGAACAGGGTTAAATGTCTGCAACACATGGTTCGGCAAACGCCCATTTTGTATATATTTATCAAAAGCGAACTTGGAGGACAATTTTCTTTATCGGTGAATCTATTGGATCAGTTTGAACCTAGACTTCGAGTCTTCTTGTGACATACGCTCATTTCGAAGAAACAATGGACGCCATGAATAATACAAACTTCTTTAGGCAAAAGTGAATACTTTGAAACTGATATGATGAAAAACGTAAATAACTTTCAACCCAAAGTTGCTTCCTTGAAATCAAATATGATTACATGCATTCATTTCTGAGCACTTGATGTTGAATGAATGTCAATGGTTGAACTTTTTGACTACGAGACAAGAACTATTTAACCCAACATGAAAAACACTAGATATAAGAACATTTATGAAAGAAAAGGCAAATATTGTAAATTTTCAAATYKACTGTGATTATCTTCAAATYGCCAAAGTGTGCCTTTCTGTTTGCAGAAATCTCACTTGTTCAACACAATTCGGAAATWGTAGAGCAAACAAGATTTAATTACCATACAATTTGAAGTCACTGGCGACCTGCTAATACTTTATAGAGACAGTGTGGATACAGACAAAAGATTCGTAGTTTCAAACGCCACATGTAGCATTGAACGAATGATGTAACATGTAATAGAACAACCGATCGGAAGGCACACAAAGGCAAGGAAWATCGAAGCAGGTGCACCCAAAAAAAGACTTTCAATTTCATCACATTTCATGAAACTGATATATTCATATAAATCTCTATATGCTCGTGAGCCATGAAGATTTTTGTAAAACTATTAAACCAACTTTCACTACTGATAATCTCGCTTGAAATTATACCACAACAGAAGTTTATCTAACAAAACTAACCCCAGTAAACTTTAAGGAAAACGAAAATTTGTTTTAGATAGAGTTTATTTGAAGTTCAGCCCGATATTAAAATCAAGCGGCGCTCTCCGCTGTGAGCCCGAGGTTAGTGGTCTAATAACTGCATATGGGCGATGATAACGAGTCATGTTCCCTGTTTTTTTTTTCTGTTGTCCTTTTCCTTTTGAGKAAATGTCAAAATAGTTACATGTTTTTTGACAGAAAAGACAATGAGTTAAGGTTATTGAATATTACTTGATACTTTACAAGCAAACTTTAGTCAGCTCAATTGACAACTGCCCATGTTCACACAGTTTCCCCCCTTCTCCGCACGAACATTTTGTCTTACGCGTAGGGGGTTCCCAGTAAACATCAACGTTGAACAATATTTCTCSTGTCTAGAATACCCCATGATACTAAAATTATAAAGGAGTCCAATTACAGAGCTGCTAGGCCAACTTGTATGCGGTATAGCGGTAAAACAACTAATCCTATTCAAAAGGGTCTCGTTGTTACAAAGGATTAAATAGCGCCGGCCTCGCTTTTTTTCCATTGATATGGCAATTATACGCCGAGTATTTGGAATTTGAATAATACTGTTTTGAATAGGTTGAGAATCTATAGTTAGTCGATGGATTTCAAAGACAACACTATTATTATGAGCGAATCAATGCGCCTCACAAAAGGAGGCTTCAGTGAAGAATAAGTACCTTGCACAAAACCACAGCTTATTTATTAGCAAGACCCTTGAGAAAATTAATTGGTCAACTTTGTATTTTAAGGGCTGACGCTCGATAATTCCAATATAATGGTTTTTATCGCCAACCGATGTTTAACATAGCGGTTATCGAAGAGGACGAACTTTGCGCGAATATTCAGTTTTCCACCAGTTTGTTCTGTCTTACGATTGTGTTCTTAATTTAATTAGACCTATTGTCCAGTTCAGTTTGATGAGGCCGACAACAACCGCCCTCCAAAACCATGGCCGAAGCTCTATGCGTAATAAGCTGCACCAAAGTTGCCTTCATTTCCTCGGTGAGTCTTGTGGACATCACCACAGGATGGACAGTGGTCTTTGTCAATTTATAAGTGCCTCTGGGCTTACTTGATATGGTTATTATATCGCACAATAGCAAAACAACGGTATTAAAAATCTCAWTTCTGAATGCGCTATCCTAACATATCAGCCTGGGAAAGGATGCGGTACTTTTTAATTTCGCAYCGCAAAGCCTTAGTAAATTAGAATGTGCATGAAAAACGGTCGTGTAGTAGCTGCACCTTGTCTCTCTTTGTTTACAGATGGTGTTAGATGACTGCCATTAATCGCAGAGTAAACAAAGGAATCTGTAAACAAATGTATTAAGAGAGAATGCACTARATCAATATAATGTTGAGATAATTTTAGGGCACAATTCGTCTCGACATTTTCGAGTGTTTTCCAATAAAATTCCATCGTCGTTGGTATCTTTAGTGCATCACCGTTGCTTATCTTTGAGTACACAGCCTACACCGCTACGAAAGCGCCTCAATCATCACATGATTTCTCAATKAGATGAAAAGCGAACAAAGGAAAAATCCTGAGATGCCCCAAGTGGAAAATTGAAGCTCTAAATGACATGAGCGCTGTCAAAATATTGTCAAGAGGGGGGCGTTTCGCCACAATTTACACTCAAAACGCCAACAAATCCGTAATCTGAGAGCCTGGTAGAAACTTTTGAGAATGTTCGTAATTAGCCCTTTAGTGTCAGGCCCGCAGGCGAGTTTGACCTCTGAGATGTATTCTTTGTTGCTGTGTTTCGGCTTTTGATTCCAGCAAAGAAACGCGCGATTGAATTTGCGTCCTTTCAGCTGCTCTGCTTATCGAGTTCTATTTATTTGAGGTGTGATTTATTATGAGCGAACAAGTTGATCAGCCCCGGTCGAGCCTTGGCATCAATCAACGTCGGTACTTCAAAAGAAAGCTAATTGAATCAATCGATCTGGTAGTATGTTGATAATTCCTAAAACCACGCCTGAKTAGTGGTCTTGCGTGTTCTTTACAACTAAACATTGTTAAGCATCCTTCATGACAACAASGTCTGAATAGTTTTACACTGCCTCTGGTATAGGAAACCTTTGCCATATCACATTATCGGAGTTTTAGAAGGACCGGACGTACTGTTTAAGGTAAAACCTCTTAGCTGGCATTATTGATCAAAAGTGGTTAAACAAATTGTCAGTTTAATGTTAAATTTTTCACACTATGTCGTATAAACACTGAGACCTCCGATTATTGTCATCGACCATGAAAGAATAGAGTGAGCACGTCTAGATCCACGAGGGGAGCCAGGAAAACAAACTCCTTTAAACCAGCAGGGAGCCCTTTTACTCGACATAGTGTCTGTTCAGGGGAAGGAGCGATATTGAACTAATAAGTGAAAAAGAATGAGCAGGAATTTATCAATATAAAGCTAATATTGCCTTTCATAATCATCACCCTACACACGAGTTATGCCTAGTCACAGCTGGAAGGCTATCAACATTTACACGGTCGTACTGAGAGTTTGTGTTATGCTTTTTAAGATAGGTGTAAACCAACTGAGCTCCTCAGCAGGTTTATAAGTTATCGCAATCATCTCAGTGGCCTTCTCGGCGATAAATTTGTCGTTTTCAATCAAGCTGAGATCATAATATACTCCTTAGGGATTCACGGTTGTAGGCATTACGAACAATTACTCGTAGAGCTTTTATAAATCAAAAGAAAACAAACGATTACCGATCTGAATGGGAGTCGATTGCACATACCATACAGTAGTCAAGCCATTTGCACAATATAATCTTGGATCTAAACTTGTGCCTATGTAAGTGAGAATTCTTGACTGTCTGAATTCGTGCCATGATACACTGGTGCCAACGGTATCGATGACTTTGTTTGTGTGTGTTGTACGTGCGGCGGTACTCTAGCATAACACGGTTCACTTGGCCTGTCGGTGTGAGTGCGCTTTCGCTAAGAGGTTTAGATTTGTAAGWTGATGGAAGGACTATTGCGATCCATCCCATCAAGKCGCCCCTATGCAGTTGTTTAACGCCCCCTTCTACCTCCCACTTTAAGAATACTGAGGATCTTATTACTAGATAGGGTCAACCATACTTCTTCTATATAGCTGGGTGTTTTTTTGTGGTATTTTATTCACAGTACAACCAGGGTGATACAAGTGTGTGCTCCGTCGGTTGCGGTAGATTAGAGCCAAGCTTCAATGTAATTAGAACTTCCGTAAGCAATCGAAAGGTGTGAAGTGCCAAGAGCTTCGCAACTACATTCAAATGTATTAACATCCTCCTTTTTACTGACGAGTAGGATTTACACAGCTTTACTAAAGGTGATAGGATTTCGCGGTCGTCAAAAACTTGCAAACTTATTCAAGTAAGAGCAGAGCCGGTCTCTAGCAATAGATCAATGGTATTGTTCTTATAGATTGGTTAAGAATAATAAAGCCATTTGGAGCAACTTATTATATGTCAACAAATCCATATCATTCAATCACGTTTGTCAAGGGGGCCGAAATGACGTCGTTGATTGGTTCGCATCGACATGGCGGCATCCTAAAAGACGTCCTTCACCGCAACCATGACTGAATCTACAGTTTCTGTGAATATCTCCGGCGGCTACAATTCTAGTTAGGCTCTCTATTTTGATCACGAAGCAGAATTTCTAGAGAAATAATCYCCATGATTTTCTAGGACTTATTTTATAAGGTGACATTTTTGTAGTTGTCGATTTGACAAGAGCAGTTTGATTAGATTTGATTACATCTTTAAGCTGATTTACTGTCCTTGCTAATGTGATCTTCTGTCGTTTATTTTTCAGAGTTTACCCGACAAATACTCGTGTTCATCTCTGGAAATGCTGGCTTCAAACTGCAGCCCAATAGGAAAGCAAAGCCCTCCTCTGCTCAGCGATATTGGCAAAGGATTTTACCCATGGAAAGCGAGAACACCATACGAAAGCGTATCTCTTACAAGAACTAGGCTGTCTGAAGCGAATCTTTCTGGAATGGGTTCAGCGTTTGTGTCTACACCTGAAACACCCCAAGCAGATCGACAAACTAGCGATATTCTTCATTCGGCGTGTAATCTCGGCACAAGTAGAAGTTCTGCGTCTGAACATGTAGCCGCGGTGAGCCGCATTCATCCTACGGTAGATCCTGTGTATTCACGGATGTCTCACCCTCACTCTTACCACAGTAATCCATGGTATAAACAGTCTTTGGAGCACCAGTCTCACCAAGGACCGAGGCAAAGCTTCTGGGAGGTTCATGGAAACCCTTCGTGGCTAGAAGGACCGGCTCCTTCGCCATCATTCCACCCATCCTTGAGTCACTTTCCAGGTTTAGATTTCGCGACGGCAAATGTACATCACCCAGTGTCGGGAATGCCTTCAGTTACGGTAGGAAGTCATCCGCATTTCTTTACACCGCCATCATACATCTCTAGTGAGCCCATTAAGTCCGGCATTCCGACGTATATTGATGGCCCTGGCTATTTTCCAGGCACTGCCTTTTTGCAAACAACTCAGAACTTAGTACKACGAACAACACGTCGTTATACAGGTCGAGCAACTTGTGACTGCCCGAACTGTCAAGATAACGAGCGTATGAGCGCTAGTGGGGCTCCGTTCCGTAAGAAATCACAACATATTTGTCATATACCAGGATGTGGTAAAGTTTATGGGAAAACTTCACATTTAAAGGCTCATTTGAGATGGCATACTGGAGAGAGACCTTTTGTGTGTAACTGGTTGTTCTGCGGAAAGAGATTCACCCGTTCGGATGAGTTACAAAGACATCTACGAACGCACACGGGGGAAAAAAGGTTTGCATGTCCCACTTGTAACAAACGCTTTATGCGAAGTGACCATCTTTCAAAGCATGTAAAAACACATAATAACGGTGTGAACGCTGTAAAGAAGATTGAGAAAACAGACCCAGAGAAGTCACCTAGTGAAGGTTCAGAAAGTATATCAGAGGAAACAATTGGAGTTGTTTGATTATAAAACATTAAAACTAACTTATATACAAAAGATACAAATAGTTAAACTACTTCAATGCAATTTRTGAAAAAGCCATGCACCAAAGGAAATACAGCAGGAAAAAATATGTGAATAATAGGATCTTGTCTCTCTAGACAAGGGTGTATATGCCCCAATAACTGTTTATAACAGGACAACTGAACTCCTCCAAAAATCTCTAAGTTAGTCCGGTTTATGTATATAACACAGAGATAAATATATGAACAATGAGACTTTCAAACTCAGTGTTGTGAAACATTTCTTTGAGAGCCAAGCTCTAGAATGTACTTAATATTCTCAAGTACTTTGGAATTTAAACTTTAGAACTTTAAAAGGAATTCGGCCACGAAAACTTGTATTTATTGCCAAAACAAGGCCACGTATTACTCCACACAATTTATTTAARATAAACCTACGATATATTCATCAAAATGATATAGTTTCGAATGACTGAGTGTACAGAAATTTCCCGAATTTATATTGACCACCAACATGGCATAAGTGTTCTGAATGAATTCATTAAAATTTTAAATGTGTATCTTGATTTATTGTGTTTATACATATGGCTGTTTTGTACCTATGGAAGTGCGCTTTTTAAGTTTCTAAGCTGTTTTTAACTACCCCACACTGAGAACCTGGTGTGTTGTACAAACAGTTCCCAGCATGGCACAGTTAGTCTAGGAATCTCATGTTCACTTTAGCGTGCTCACTTTATATCAATATAAAAAGCTAATTTTGTACTTAGGACGTTCATTGGATTGTGTTTTATAGGTAAGATAGGTTTACGATTTAGCGCTCAATTTTCCGGCACCGAGGTAGAGCACCAAATACCTTCTTGAATTCCACTAGCTATGTGCCGGAGAAAGTCTGCTAGTGTTATCTAAATAAATGCTTGCTATTTCGTCATTGTTTTACTCTTTTAGGGCTAATTGAGACGCAGAACTATTATTATTCTACCTTACCGATCAGTTGCCGCTWAATTTACTAATAAAATATGGTATTTTTTATGCACTCTTTACTCGGTGTTGAACTTCGGTTGTGACAATAATACCACCATCTTGTCCCATAAAAAGGTGAACACTAACCCATGTTTACGACAAAACTGTTATAGCGAGAATTTCACCAAAGTAGCGTTGCATCAGCCAATAAACTTGTGTTGAACAAAGGAAATAATTTGTGGCTGAAATAACCCGCAACTCGGAAGATTGACTAAGAATTTTCTCAAGCAAGTGTTAAAACAAATATTTGCTCAAGATACAAGATTGGCCGTCAGGATTTATTTACTCTTTATAGTCTAAAAGCCTTCGTTACTTTATAAATCAAAGAATTAGGATTGTATGCGGTGAAACCGCCTAAATCTATCTAGGCTGTAATTTCACTCCAAAAGATAATTCAGTCGGGGCCATCAAAGAGAGGCGAACTCAAAATTTAATGCATCGAAATTGACCAAGAGGTAACTCTAACTGAGCGACTCGGAGTCGAAAAAAGGCATTACTTTCAAATGTGAATGTATTTTAGGGCCTCAAAGATTTGTTTATATAGGAACTTAGAATTTAACTTTTCTCTGTGAAGTTGCCGACCAGCTCCATGCTATATACATAATTGGAAATAATCATCACGAGGCTTCTTTGCTTTCTATCATTTTGCACTAATTGTCCAAATAGAGTCTATATCTATCTTTTAGTATTCAAAGTGTAGAGTTGCTGTATTCCAAACAAAAAACATGGTATTGTGTTGGAAAGGCCTACTGTGGTTGCTTGTAAACCCTCTTAGCCCCGCTATAACGTATATAAACAACCCGAAAGGAACAGCAATGCAAAGATCATATTTCGAAATCGCCCTAGGCTATAGAGCTAGGTTCATAATTCAACACAAACATATTAAAGAATGTTGGCCATATAATTGCAACCTACTAGATAGAAAAACCGGAAAAAAACGCATCGAACACGAAGATGAATTTGCGATTTTCGCCTCCGGCTGACGGCTTCTTTACGAAAAAAAGAGCCTTTAATTCAATTGCATTTGACGACGGGCTAAGATAATCATTACTTTGTTCCAGACACGTTTTTGATGGTAAGGCAAATTTAATTCCTCGTTCCCATGGGGCTGACTCAGCGCTTGCTGATACACAAACAATGTTATGAACCAATGGACCCAGTCCAGTTTTTTGGTYCTTGAAATGACGCGTCGAGTTCGTCGGTGCTTGTCGCAGTAATCTACCCTCAATCCCATGTTAATCCCAAAAGAATCTATCTACGAATCCTTTYTGTTGGCCAATGATTGGAGTAAGAAGAGAAACAACAGACAATCTTGGGTTTTTGTTTGATGGTCAGTAGACGACCCCAGTATAATAGATGTATGGTATCTCTTAGAGTGCAATGTGCGGGTCAAAGGGGGGGAGGGGATGCATTGAGGTCTCCCTCCTGTGGAGCGCTAATGCGACCTGACATAATTGTACTTCAGGCATCAGATAGTTAATGTTTAATATCTGTTTCGATAACAAGCATGCACAGCCCACTTTGACAGCCCACTAGTCCCTTCTGCGCACGATCACGAACAGTCCAATGCTAATTCTCGGGTTATTTTTCATTCTCAGTGGAATCGCCCTTGTTGCCTGGTTGTCTGWCTATATTTACGGAATCTACAATAAGTTATTTTCGTAATAAAGTCGTTAATCATCRTCTGATCGGAATACATGACGATGGTACACAGGTGGTACGTCCCATGGCTGACGCAGTGAAATGAGCCGGCGCTTCTTTTGTGTTCCTYTGCACTTCCCTCTCAGCAGGCAGTCCAGCGAGGTGTCTCCTTGATTCGTTGTTTTCTTTCATTGTTCACAGTTCAAAGGAGACTTTTTTAACGTATACAAAATACGTAAATCAAAATCAATGGAGTATTTTGTTTGGGGTCAAATATAGATACGTCCAGTAGAATTTAYTATTGACTATTTTGCCTAGGCGAACATTTATGTATATAAACAAAAAGATTTTTTGCAATGGGTCATTGCTTTTTTTACATGGTTAGGAGTGTGTGGTTTATCAGATTGAATACCTGAGTATTTTTAGAATCAGACTCTMAAATTCATAGATTATTATATGGTAATGTTATGTATACCTTTGGGGTAAATCTGTGTACTGAGTGTGTCTAATCCTACGTGTTTATGCTTGTGTTTATTTGTATGTTTGTGTGTGTGTAGGTGTAGTGGATTATTAATGGTTTTTCACAGTGTATTAATAAAAAAGACTGAACTGGCCGCTTAGACTAAAATTCAAAATATCAACGTCTTAGTAAGAAATCATTACTTTGGGAGCGTCACAAATTCATGGTGACAGTATCTATCAACAAATAAATAGCCAAATATCTATACAAATGCTTGAAGTTAGTGCTWCATTGTAGATTGTTGTATTATATATTATATGAATATTTTATTACTGATGTRTTGCGTGAACTGACTGAAGTCTATTAAATACTAAAAGTTCCTGATCTACAAATTGCATCGAATCCGAATGATACGATGAACAAAGCCAGGGACCAAAAGTTAGGTCAATGATTAAAAAAGCAGGGCTCCTGTCGTCAAGAACAAGAGAATCTTAAATTGTTTGCTATTTCGACTAAATCCACTACAAAACATAAGATGAAAAGCCAACAAGGGAAACATGCGAAAAAGTTAGAAACCACGTTGAAATCTGTTTTGTGGGGCAATCCCTCTAAGATAACTTGCGGTTTTTCTAACTAAAAAACCTTTCTCTATTAGAARTCATTTTGCGTATTCGGTGCGACAGTCGATAGTGGTTTAGATCAGTTTTTTRCTCGGTTCTATTACAGTAGCCTGAGACAAAACATGCATTTAGAACCATAGCGTTTTTTTCACAAACACTGCGGTGACATCAAAGACTCTAACCACAGATAGTGTGTGTAATCTAAAAACCCCTAAACCTGGTTCTCCACAGACAAAAGACTACATCAGAAAAGGTTGGAAAAATCCCGTAATAAGGATGGCTTTTTCATGGAGGCATTTCCSATGTACCAAAAGCGTTCGGATTGACTAATTCAAACCGACAATTTTCTGGGTTCTTAAACCAAGCAAATGCGAATAGTTCTCGCCTCGGCTGTGGTTTAGTCGGGCGGTAATAGAGTCTTTTATTTGATGTGGGGTTACTAGATATCTCCTTTACTTCTTAACAGATCAATTGAACGCCGAAATGGTAGAGATTTGCGTTAAAATGGGTTTTCTCTTGATAGGTATTTAGTAAATACAGGCGCAACTTTGCAGTAAATGTAGTCTTCATCAAGATGGTRCAGAGTTCGCAGATCAAGCTACAGGTGCCTTAGACTTTTGTTTGAGCGCCGCGGTCAAGCAATTTCAACGGTTTATTGGTCAGTTAGTTCGGCTACAAATAGCGATATATCTGATCGTTTACACAGCGTCGCCATGTGGATGAGYTCTGACATTGATGGTACTAGTTTAAGGCACAKGCTCCTGAATACCTCAACCTGACAGCGACCCAAAAATAAACAAAACGAAAAACTAAAACAAACAAATCAAACAAACACGAATCAAAGCAAAACAAACACGAAACTAAAACTAGTGATATCAAAAGTGAGAAGTCTAAAGTCCTAGATAAACTAGCACATAAATACGAGCGCGATGYCTAAATTGTCGCGCACTTTCATTTTAAWTTTTGCCATTCGCTACAATGTGACGCARTGAGTAAGSATTGAGGACGAAAAGTWACAGCACGCGATGATTTATAGCACGGCTTTACCTGTTCCTTCTGAACGGCAAGAACTGTAAYCCCCAAAACTGRGAGACAAAATTCCGCAAGATTTGCAACTGATCTACATCAAACACTCTAAAAAGTAAAGTAAAAATACGAATACAATATATAAAGTCATTTATCTTATGAATATTTTACTCTTCGTAAGCACAAGGAAGCCTAAAATTTAACCTATATGCCCACAGCACATAACGTTTTGCTCTGACTGCGCATTTTATGACTGTATAATATATAATACACATGTATAATATGCTTGCAATCGAATTAATAACCGCTAATATAGCCGTTCACTCATATCAATATATCAATATATAGGGTTTATTATACTTCAATTTGTCATAAAACTGCAGATTTATGCTTGAATATCKTTTAATAAACATTATTTRAAAGTATTCGAATGATTTGCGATCTGTTTTATAGCGAAAAGAGCACATGATGTCACCCACGATGCAGTACCCGATATATTGATGTCAGRGGTCAGAATTTTTGCAAATAACTATATTAATGATAACTACATACATAGTTACTGTCGTTAACCRGTGATATTGAACATCGTCTACGGTTTGTTGACACGTCATAATGTTAACTTAAGCTTTTGACGACGACCTATTTTGGAATGGATGGAATGGCATCCCATCCGTTTTGKTCCCGGGAGCTTTGAACGCCTGAAATGTGTTTGAAATAATTCTTTACCAGCAATCTTTTTCGATCATTCTAACGATATGGAACAAAAAACAAACAAACAAACGAAAATATGAGCATGARTTTACACATAAAGTCCATGGCATAACTCCAGAAATCTTGGTAAAATAAGTGACCTTGATATTAAACGTTGRATCGGTCCGACTAATTAATAACAACGTKGTTCTYGTCYCAATMTTTGTAGTGTATGGAGTCCTYTTTCACTCTCTTTGCCAAGAAATTGCATAGATAAAAGTCTTCTAAATTTAGAACTGAGAAAGAAAAGCCCTGCTACACTGTAAGTGAAGTATATATAGCTACTGCTGTAACCGAAATTCTTGAACAAAGATAATGTTTACGTCGTGTTCTTCACAAACCGCCTTTCATCTCCTKAAACACTAGTTCATTCATTTTCCATGTATTCAATATCTTTATATTCATGT